TCCCCAGAGCTGGGGCTGGCTGCAGCCAGGAGGCTGCAAACAGCTGCTGCCTCCCCACTCCAGGCCCCAGCCCCAACACGTGCCGAGGAAAAAGGCCTTGCGTGCCATGCTTGGCACGCGTGCCGGGGATTGCCGACCCCTGTGCTAAATCAAAGGAAGAGGAGCTGGAAAGAACCTCACAAGGTCATCTAGTCCATCTCCCTGCTTGAGGCAGAACCAGCCCCTATTAACCCATCCCAGCTAAGTGTCTGTCTAATATTCTCTTGAAAACTTCCAGGGATGGAGATTCCAACACTTCTCTAGGTAGCCTGTTCCAATGCTTGGCCATGCTTATCATCAGAATGTTCCTCCAACCTAAATTACTGAGCTGCAAACTTGAGGCAATTGCTCCTAGTGCAGTCCCCTGCAGCCTAGAGAAAAGCCTGTTTCCATCCCCTCTATAATCGCCCTTCAGGTATTTGAAGACTTATCAAATCCCCCCCTCAGTCCTTTTTTCCAAACTAAACAATGTAAGTTCTTTCAGCCTTCCCTCTCAGGCCCCTAATCATGTTCATTGACCTGTGCTGGCTCTTTCCAAACTGTCTACATCCGTGGGGCTCAAAACTGGACACAGTACTCCAGGTCAGGCTTTACCAGTGTTGAACAGAGTGGAAGAATCACTTCCCTTGGTTTGCAAGAGATACTCCTGTTAATGCAACCCAGCATGCTGTGGGGTTTTTTAATATTTTTGCAACAAGAGCACACTGTTGGCTCATATTCTGCTTATTAGGGCTGTGCGAAGCTTCTGTCTCCGGTTTGATTTGGCAGAGATTCATCCCAATTTGGTGGCTGAATCTCCGAATTGAATCAGAAGACCCTTTAATTTCTCCGAATCGAATCGGAACCCTTCCAATCAATTTGGAAAGGTTCGACAATTCGGACATAGTCACAGCTTTAAATGTTTTTTTCTACATACCTCTAGGTAGCAGGTGGCTCGTGAATGCTGTGATACTGGGGCACATGGAGTGTCTCTCAGAAGCACAGGAGGCTCCCCAGTGCGCTCAGCAGCAGACCCAGAAGTGGACCAGAAGCACTTCCAGTCCATTTCCAGGTCCGTCAGGGAGCATGCCAGGGGGCCCCCCCCTGCACCCTCCTGGCTCAGCGATTGGTGTCTGCTGGTTCTATGGGGGGCACCCAGGTTTCCCCTGTGGCCGATCGCCAAGACAGGGGGAGATGGGAAGGGTCCCCCAGCATGCTCCCTGGTAGACCTGGAAGTGGACCGGAAGTACTGGTCCACTTCCAGTGAGACCAGTACTGAGGGCTGCCCCCCCAGCACTCCTGTGGGATGCTCCATCTGCCCCAGCATTGCAGTGCTCACGAGCCACGCTGGTACCTTGGGGTATGTAGAAAAAACATTTAAAGTTGGGTCTAAGGCCAAATTGCTGATTCTCGGAATCAGCATTGAATCTTCAGATCTGGATTCAGCGGAATCGAATCAGGGACAGTGATCCGAATCAACTAATCGAATCACTGTCCCCGATTTGGGTCGAATCCGAATCCAAATCAAATAGGGCCTGCTTTCCACACCCCTACTGCTTATGGTACTATAACCTCCAAGTCCTTCTCTGCAGTACTGCAGTCTTGCTACTTATTCCCTACTCTGTATTTGTGCATGCAATTATTTTGTTCCAAATGCAGGATTTGGCACTGGCTTCGTTGAATATCATCATTTTTTGAAGACCATTTCTCCAGTCTATTCAGGTGATTCTGGATCCTAGCCTTACTCTCTGGATTTATCTGCAACTCCACCCAATTCAGTGCTGCCCACAAATTTGCTAAGCATGAATTCAGTCCCATCATCCAAATCATTAATGAAAAACATTAAACAATACTGGACCCAAGACAGACCTCTGGGGAGCCCCACTTGATACCTCCACCCAACTGCAATTAAGCCACTGATGACTACTTAACAAGATGATCAAACCAGTTATGGTGGATCTACCTTACAGTAGTTTTGTCTAGTCTGTATTTACTTTGTCTGTTAATGGGAATGTCATGGGAGACAGTGGCCTTGCTAAAGTCAGGATAGGACTGTAAGATGTCCCTTCCTCATTGAACCTCAATTACCAATACCTCCTCTGCTAAGTGGAACTGGGTATTTTATTAAGGACCAAATTTAATTAACAAGTGTTCATTTAACTTAGCCATATGACACAGACTGAAGTAATAAGGAAGAAAGTTACACCACTTTCTTGCTATCAAGACTTAAACCAAATGCATACCTCCTGGCTTCTTCTTTCTGTTGCTCTTTCCAGCTGCTCTCCATGTAACGCAAGGCATAATCACTTTCATCCTTGTATCTTAAAAGGAAATACTTATATTTAGTATAACAATAACAAATGAAAAGTTAAACAGAACTAGCAATACTAAATTAAATTTAGTATATATGTAAATTAAAATTTAGTATACATTAAATTTAAATACATGTAAACTGATTTATGAATGAGCATGTTTTCTTTTAAAAATACAGATTAGCCTAATTGGTATTCTTTTTAATTTTGGGGGAAGACTAATATCTAGATATAGGATTTATATGCAAATACATACTATTTCTCTGGGCATGTAAGCTATCAGAGTTTTCATAAAACACTATTTTTATTAATTTTATTATTATTTTGAGGGGTTAGGGCATAATGATGATGATAAAGCATAAAAATCAACACTGTGAAAAAAATATAGTTTTTCAAGGGTTTTCAAAAGAAAACATTAACTTTGGACTTCATTATGCCTACTTCTTGTGTATGTGATCCCAACTGTCCACTACATAGTTGTTTTCAGTTGAAAAGCCCCAAAATATTGCATTACATGTAATACAGATTAATCCTGTTTAAGCTTGCCCATTGGTCCCTTAAATACCCCTTGCTGCAGCCTATATGCTGAAAATGGCCACAGCCCAAGTGTTCTATCTGCACCTATTGCCCCTCACCAGATTGGTACGCGGCTTCAACTGGGTTCCTGAACAAGTGAGATATGAGTTTTCAGCTGTAAACTCTTATCATTTCAAGTGTGAAAGAAAGTGCTTATAGCAGCACCACTGAGGATACAGGGGTATAGGTTGTAACTGTGTTGGTCTAAGGACATAGGCAGACAAGGTTCTTTGGGTAAATCTGACATCTTTTACTAGACCAACTCAAATAGTTGGAAAAATTCTTCTTTTCAAGCTTTCAGGGATAAATACCCTTCATCGGACTGAGGAAGCATCTGCAGAGTTGGTGTGTGCTCTTCCTGGATGAAAAAATTGTAAAGAAACCAGAGTCTGGCATGTATGCAAGAAAGCCAATCAGTGACAATGTAAATCGGAGTCAATGGGTGAGAGAGATCTTAGGGGGGTGAGGGAAAGGGAATGAATATAGCTGGTAAGTAGTGGAGAGGTACCTGGGGAGTCAGATGCTAGGCAGGTTATAATGTGTCATAAATCCAATGTCTATATTTAGTCCATGATTTTTTGTATTCAATAGGTTGATGAAGTGACGTTTGTAGGCTTGTCTGTGAAAGGTGTGGTGTAAGTTCCCTACAAGGATTAGAACTGAGATTGGTATCTCTCCACTATTTAACAGCTACATTCATATCCTCACCCTGTCTCTCAGTCACTGACTCCGATTTACATTGTCAATGGCTGGCTTTCTTGCATGCATATCAGCCTCTGGCTTCTTTACTATTCATTCCATCCAGGCAGAGCACACACCAACTGCAGGTGCTTCTTCAGCCTGACGAAGGGTGTTTGTGCCCGAAAGCTTGCAAATAATTGTGTGCAACTATCTGAGTTAGCCTAATAAAAGATACCAGATTTGCTCAAAGAACCTTGTCTGCCACTGAGGATACAGCACTACCAAGTAATTCTGATTGACAAGCTCTTGCCATCAGAGCCTATACTGACATGCTGGAGAACTTGGGTAAATGCTGCCCTATTTTAACCCAACATTTTGGTCTGGTCTAAAAATATACATATATTAATGCAATGTAATACATATTATCACAGCAGCTTTGATGCCAGAAAGGCAGCCTCCAACAGTGCTGCACAAATGACTTCCGACAGCCCTACAGGATCTTGCAATGGACAGAGATAGACTTATCTGCTCCATCACAGGCAGTCAAGAAACCTGAGATATGAGATTGCTCAATGTACTATTTCCCTTGACCAAACCAAGTAGGTCAAAGATAAAACCCAACTCTGTTCCTTGTGACAGAGGCCAACAAGCTGCAAAGACTTTTGAAGAAGAACCCTGGATATGAAAGCATTGTTAGCAGTGAAGAGTTAATTTAGGCAGTACTGGTCTGAAACTACCAGAACAATCACTATCTATACTGGGCCCCCTCTTTCTCTTCCAGCTTCTGCTTCCTGTCCTACTCAGTGAGGCTAAGGAGGGATTTGTGCTGTCTTCACACAGCTGGAAGGAGAAGAGCAAGGCTGAATGTGACAAGGGGAACCAAGATGCATCTCATGCAGCATGCAGTGCACAAATGTGATCCCCCCAATGCCCAAAGGTTGGACAACTTAAACTATAATATCTATGGGTGTTGAGAGATCTCTCTTAGTGCACAAATTCATCCTGACTAAAAAGAGCCACCAGCTAACACTGGAAAAGTAAAGAAAAAAAATAAAGTACTAGTTACACACTAGGAATCAGATTATTGTGTTAGTCAATAAAGGATATGATAGGCATATCTTAACAGGTATGTAAATGTGTTTTAGGCAAAATTTTTACTAGTTACACGCATGATTACTGAACCAAATACTTATATATGTAAATTTTATGATATTTCTCCATTTCCTGAAAGTTTTGAAAATAGTAAAATTAAATTTAAAGTACAGATTTCTATCATTTTAAGTGCATATTTCACCATTTTACAGTTTGTTGTACATATAAATCCTGTGTCCAGTAAAACTGAATTTTGGGTCATTAGCATATTTTATTGCACCCATTTATTTGCTAAGCCTCTTTATAGAAAACTTGTCTTGCCCCAACCAGCATGTCATCATGACATTCAGTATGTTGTTCTTAGTTTTTGTTGCCATATAAATGACATCAGATCTGCTGATTACAGTACAGGTGTTTATAACAGCATACTATGAAGACATAATACTTCCCAGTATACCCATTCTTCAGTAACATCAGTACTATCATGTTTTAAAACCACTAGCCCACAGCTGTTAAAGAAATGCTGTATTTACCCAAATCCAACACAACTTTGAATTTAAGACAACCCCCCCCGATTCCATACATGGAAAAATATAAATTTCATGTAATTTTCCATGCAAAGAACACAATTGGAAGGCTGTCTTAAATTCATCCCAACTGCTGTGGCATGGAAAGCAGCAGCAGGGAGGCAAGTAACTGGCAGCAGGCAGCCTGATCCCAGACTCTTGCCCTTCTGCACCTTGTTCCTAGGTCACTTCCCTCTGCCCCTGCCCCCATACCCTGTTCCCCAATGCATGCATGCCCCCCGCGCCCAAGTATCTGTACTTCCTCCCCACTTGCCTCCTGCTACTTGCTCCAACTCATTACCCCCTCCACTGCTGCATGGCATGCTCTTGGATGTCTTTGTATCGAGTCCCATCCCCCACTTTCCCCTGACTCAGCAGAGAGCCAAGGAACATGCAGGATCCAGTGCAGAGCCAGGAATGTGATGCTGTGGTTAGTAAAGCAAGCAAAACAATGGGTTGCATCCACAGATGCTTCTCAAGCAGATCCCAGGACGTCATTCTCCCATTGTACTCGGCCTTGGTGAGGCCACAGCTGGAGGACTGTGTCCAGTTTTGGGCTCCACCATGAAAAAAGGAGGTGGAGAAGCTTGAGAGAGTCTAGAGGAGAGCCACATGCATGATCAGAGGGCAGAAAAACAGACCTTATGATGAGAGGCTGAGAGCCATGGGACTCTTCAGCCTGGAGAAGTGCAGGCTCAGGGGTGATCTGGTGGCTACCTATAAGTTTATCAGGGATGTTCACCAGGATGCGGGGGAACATCTGTTCACCAGAGCGCCCCAAGGGATGACAAGATCAAACAGTCACAAACTCCTCCACGACCGATTCAGGCTGGACATAAGGAAGAGCTTCTTTACTGTCCGAGTCCCCAAGGTTTGGAATAGACTGCCGCCGGAGGTGGTTCAAGCACCCACTTTGAACGCTTTCAAGACACATTTGGATGTTTATCTTGCTGGGATCCTATGATCCCTGCTGACTTCCTGCCCCTGGGGCAGGGGGCTGGACTCAATGATCCTTCGGGGTCCCTTCTAGCCCGAAAAGAAAGAAAAAGAAAAAAAAAGAAAAAAGGAAGCAGCGGGGCAAATCTGCTCAGAACCAGACAGCAGTAAAACCTAGCACTGATTCCATCACCACTCTCTGGCTCCCTACTGAGCCAGGACATGGTAGAGGAATCAGGGTAGAGCCAGACAACAACATGATACACAACACAGTCAGATAGCCAGGATGGAATCAACACTGGGTCTCACTGCTCTTTGGCTCCAGGCTGATTCCCCTACCATGCCCTGGCTCAGCAGGGAGCCAGGAGAATCAGCTCGCAGCCAGAGAACAGCACAGGACCCAGTCTGCCTGCAAGTACTCAAGCCTAAGATGAAACTTCATTTTCCCTCATGATGGTGAATGGGGTGAAAAAATCTCACCTTGGAATCAAGTAAATACAGTAGCTCTTAGCTGTTGATAGTATGCCAATATTTTTAGTTTCTTATTTGAATAGTTTGACTCTTCTCCCTAACCTAAGATGTTAGATTGTTTAAGTTACCCACCTTCCCACTCACCTACTAGAAAAACATCAAATGGGAAAACAAAAGGAGGTAGAAGTAAAGTAGACAGTGGTTGCCTCTATACCAGGGGTGGGCAAAATATGGCCTGCGGGCCAGATCTGGCCCACCAACTGATTGGATCCAGCTCACAGGGGCGTCTGCAGAGCTCTGCATGGGGCTCAGCCCAGTTTGCACCTGCAGGGCCTGGCCCTGGCCAGTGCGCATAGCTTCCGACAGGGCTGCTCCTGGTGTGGCTGCAACCACCTGGTTGTTGCTCCACTCCCGTCGCCTCCAGCAGCAGATTCTTCTGCTGGGCCACTCCAGGCTGGAGGAAAGCTTTAGCTGGGCAGTCCGCAGGTAGCTGAGCAGGTGGAGCTGAGCAGGTAGAAGGCAGCTGGGAGCTTCAGCTGGGCAATTCCAGCTCCTGGTGTGGAAGAAGGCAGCCACATGTCATTTACTTTGCAGGGATGGATCCAGTGCAGGGAAGATGGGGATGCTGGAACCAGCACACCATGCACTGGGGCACAAGCTGCCCGGCTGAAGTTTCCTCCCATCCCAGAGTGGTGCAGCAAGAGCAGGAGACGCCACCATTGGGGATGAAGGGAGTGGAGTAGCACCCAGGCAGCTGCAGCCAAATGAAAGCAGCCCTGCTGGAAGCTGTATGAGCTGCATAGTAAATTTTGGGGAGTTGGTGTGGAGGGATGCTGACCTGGCTTGCAACAACTTGTCAAAAACTCCGTCTGAGGCCCCTGGGCCCAAATAATTACTCACCCCTGCTCTATACCATTTAGCATCTGAGGGGTCACAACTTTTGTGACTGAACTAAGTCATGACTTTTCCCTGACAGCCACAGGATTGCCAAGGTAACCTATAACATTTCAAGCAGAAAGTATGAACGGAGAAACATTCTCCTTTGCCACAGAGGGTAGGGCACATGGCTGTGCATTTAAACTGCAGCAAGAAGATTTAGATTAAATCTTAGATTAAATCTTGCAGTGAAGAAGTTTTCTGGGAGAGCAGCAGCACAACAGAATACGCAGCCAAGGGAAGCTATACAATCTCCTTCATTGCACGTTTTCAAGAAAAGGCTAAACGGGGTTGCAGTTTAGTGTGCTGTCTCTGTACATGGGGTTGGACTAGAACAGGGAAGTTCATACTTCTCTGTGGCTGGGGACTGCACACTACATGGGCGGCAGGCTGCATTTGCCTGTTTGCCATGCAAGCATCCATCCATCCATCCTACTTCCCCACCATGCAGGCAGGCCAACTCCCTCGTACCGCATACACAGCCTCATCCCCCACCTGGCCTCACCCTGCTCCTGGCCAGGCACACACATGTGCAGCTCCCCTCTTTGCTTCTGTGCACAGTTCAGGCAGCCCAGTTTCTCCTTTTGCTGTTCACACAGTGTGAATAGCCTATTCACCTTCCTCACTGCTCTTGTAGCACAGACAACCCAGCTCCCCTGCTGCACAAGCCACGTGGGCAGCTCCCTCTGCCATCATGTGCAGCACAAATAGCCAGCCTCCTCCTCTGCTGCACAACAGATCCCCCTCATACAGGGCAACCCAACCCAACCCCTAGAGTGAGGTAAGGGAGTGGAAATGAGATGCTGGCCACTGCTGCACTAAAAGTAACAAGGGGAGTGGCAGCCTGGCAGAAGCCTGAGGTCTGTGTAAGCCCCTTGCAGGACATGTGTGGCCTGCAGGCCGACAGTTAGAGAGTCCTGGACTAGATAACTTAAGTTGCCTTCTATTCCTATGATTCTGGTTTTCCTTTCCTGAAATCGTCAGGTAAAAAATGCTCATCTTATATGGCGGTCAGTTGAGTAATATAAGTTAATCCACTTGTATGGGAGGTCACATATACAGTGTACTCCATTTAAATGTGTAACCTTGGAACTCAAGAAAGGCTATGCACTTCCCTGCTCCTTAAATACAGAGCCCTTATTGCTACTGTGTTAGTGTTGTAGTAAATTTTTCGCCAGAATCAGAAGCCTTGAAGACTAGCTGCTTACCTTTCACCCTTTCTATGCAATTAACTGGAGTACAATTTAGGTTACAAAGCAGATATTGGGTGCATCTACATGTGCCATTAAAGAGACATGATAAACTCCACTACAGTTTGCACCAGAGTCGGTTGCTCCCAGGCACAGCATCTATACATGCACCTGGGACCACAGCAACTTGAGCCAGGCCAGAGCAGCCCTGGGCTCGCAGGAAGTCTGGGTAGAGGGGGTCAGCCCCAAGCTCTGGCATCCAGTGACAGAGGGGATGGCTGGGGCACAAGAGTGCTAAAGCACAGGGCTAGGTGGCAGGCAGCTCTCACACTTTAGCACCCTCATGCCCCAGCCAGTTCCTGTCACCACCTACACGAGTATTTCAGCGGAGTGAGGTATTGTGCTGTAAAATAGTACTGTCCCCATATTTGAGTTGGTCTAAGAAAAGATATCATATTTACCCAAAGAACCGTATCTGCCTATGTCCTTAGACCAACATGACTACAACCTATACCCTTGAATATATATATATATATATATATACACACACACACATATATATATACACACACACACACACACACACATACACACACACACTTTTTCTGAGAAATCTCTGGATTGTCAGGATTCATTTTAAATGCCAAATTTGAAGCATCCCTCCTATGAAAGTTGACTGTATTTTATAAGATCTGAAATCTTAGCTAAATATTAAATTATTATAATGGTTTGTCCTTCATTATTAAACAAGGTTAGGATATTACCATATGATCAAAGATTGAACTCCAGCAAGTCAATAGATGATGGGGACAGACTTTGGAGGAGCTGATGTGCAGCAACTGTTCATCAGCCCACTCTTAACTCAGCAGCGAACGAAAGCTAGATCAGGGTTACTTAGCAATCCTTCATTCAGGGATTGGTGACCCCAGGATAGCTTTCACTCACTGCACAAGGAGAGCAAACAGAGTTATGAGTTACTGCACAGAGTTAAGTGTAAGTTTCATTCCTGCATTAATTTACTACAATTTGATCATTTGTCATTATCAGTAATGTGAAGCAAATAAAAGGTTTAGTCTTTGGATGCACATATCCCAACATAGCTTATTCTTTACAACAAAGGTGTCAGGTTTGACTTGTCCTTCCGACAGGGTAACTAACACAAACTGTAGTGTTGGTGACAGTTATACACTCAGACAGATACCATAGTGATAAGCAGAGCACACAAATTAGGATACAACAGATTCTGATATATAGCAGATTTTTAAGGCTGGAAAATCCTTATAGTTATACCCATGCAAATTTGAAAAATGAGCAAATACTAATACTTCTAGCAATTATGTGCATAGCAAATTGTACCGTTCCCTACTGGAGCCAGACAGGGTATGTGAAAACTGCATGGCAAAGTATGGTCAGGTTTTTCTGTATTATATTAGCTCAATTGCTTCTTTAATTTCAAGAAGTATTCTTGGATGAAAAATCCTCTGCCCTTTTCTAATATAGTCAGTTTTCCTTCTTCCATGTTAGTGTTTCAAACTTCCATCAAACCTTTACTGTCTGAAGGAAATTTAGCGAGACAACATTTTGACATCCTAAATTAATGTTAAGCCATAATTTCTCACCTTTTCCGATCATATCCAAATATTTCTCGAATATGTTTTGAAATTTCTTCCTGGGAGTCCCCTTCATCTTCGATGAAATCATCCATTTCAGAATCAGAGTCATCTTCTTCATCACATATTTGCCTTTTATAACTTATTGGTGGAAGAGAAGGCCTCGGAAGACCTAAATAAGAATAAATATATGTACAACTTTAATTCATTTGTCGCAAAAATGCTCCTAACTATTAAAAGGACTAACTCTTGTATTTTTGTTTCTCCCCATTATGTTATCTCCTTCTTCACATATTGAATGATTACAACAGCCCTCTCTATGCAACAGATGTTGTGCTTTGGGTACAGCTGTTTTCAATTCTGGGCCTCAGTAACTTGAAAACTTTTAATAATAAAGTATTTGGACAGTTTGGGAGTAGCAGAAAGAGGAGAAGCATTTCTAAGCCAGTTGTAATATGTAAGTTTTCCATCTATATTGCCAACTGCATCCTGGATGAGACACCAAAACGTAATCTAAGTTTACATTCCTGTTCAATTTATAGATTTTCAAATATATTAATTTGCAATAATTCTATCCCCTTTACTTTAAGATAATTTTTAAAATTTGCTTCCCAGTTCCAACCTAAGTGAATCTGCCCAAAATTTATTAGATCTGTCGCAGGGCCTAATTCTTATGCAAGACTTTAAGAATCTTGACTATAAAAGGTACAATTTTAAATTTTAATTATTAACAGGGATCCAGGTTTTCCGTTTCCCACAGAAAAACAGAAACAAATTCGGATTTTCCCTTTTAACCGAGAAAAACAAACTTTTCATTTTAATGGAGAAACATGCAAATTTTCCCCTTTTGCAAAGAGCTCTCTGCAAGCTGGCAGAGTTCCAGCCTACAAGGGGCTGGGGGGAAAGGGAGGAAAGTGGTCAGGCAAGGGGCACAATGTGCATATGCACATGTGTACATGCACATGGTCACCAGGAAGCCTGGAAAGCAGCTCCCTGAAGGTAAGTCTGGTAGGGGGGACTGAGGCCCCCATAGGGAGGGATGGAGTTGGGCAGGGCTGGGGCTGCTGACCAGCTGGGGCAGTGAGAGGGGCTTGGGGCCCAGGGCCGGGGGGGGGGGCCACCACTGCACTCACACCTGGGTAGGGCAAGGGGGAGGCACATGCCCCCCAGATTTGTATGTAGGGCGGGACTGGGCTGCCCACTGTGGGCTCAGGCACCCTGCCCTGCTGCCCACCCCCAGGGGCCTCTGCAACCAAGCGGGTGGAACCCTGTGCAGCAGAGCGGAGCAGGGAAGCTGCTTTCAGCTACAAGCCCTGAATCACCATGGTGAAGCGCTTCCTGCCTGCCTGGAAGCAGCAAGGGTAGTGGCACAGAGTTGAGACCTTCACTGCTAGGCAGGCAGGAGGCACCTTGCCATGGTGGCACAGGGCTTGAAGTGGCATCAAGCTTCCCTGCCTGGTCCCAATCTACTCTGCTGTGCCAGGTCCCACTGGCTGGGCCGCGGAGGCCCTGGAGGGAGGGCAGCTTTGAGTCCACACCCTCCATGGGCTCTGCTCTGGCTGTGCTGCCCATGGGGGAGGGGGAGCTGGGCTCCACATTCTGCTCCACCGCAGCAGTTGCTGCCTCCTGCAGGCAGCAGCCAGGACTCAGATGCTACTGCAGGGGGCTGTGGACCTAGGTCCCTGGCCCCGTAGCCCTGGAAGCTGGGGGCTCCCTCCAGCAGGGTTGGAGGCTGTGGAAGGGGGTGAGCGAAGGGGGTAGGGGGAGCTCTGATGTTCCATGATAAAAAACCCAAAATCAAACATCAAAATTTATAGGTACTTAGAATTTATTTTATTATAGTGATTGAGGTACTGGTAAGCTTCCAAGCTGCTTTAAAATTGTAAATATATCAATAAAACATTGTGTTCAATTGATACCTATATACATACCTATATATATAGCAAAAGCGATGGATAGATATCTCAGTGTTTCATTTTAATCACAGATTTTGGGGTTTTAAATCTGAGAATCTGTGATTTTTAAACAGAGAAAACTAGAATCCCTGATTATTAAGCATAATCTGACACTTTACATTAGGAAACTTCATTTGTCTTATTAGATTCAGTGCACCACACACATACACATCTACAATCAGGCAATATTTTATTGCTACCTGAAAAGGCCTACACATTCCACAGATGAATTTGCCTCCTTGCACTGATGCACAGTCTTACATTGTAGAAGAGAGCTCACTATCCAAGACTCTTCATTTCTTGAGCATGGATATTGGGTGAAAAAGCATACAAATGGCAGCAAGGTGCAAGGGAAGAAAGAGCAGCCATTTTACAATCTAACTTCCTATTCAGATAGTAACTATGGTAAAAATCAGGCACATGTAGACAAATCCACCTATGGTTGCTGAAACCTCTCAACCCTAAGAGATTTATACTAAGGAGAAGTATGAAACAAGAGATACATATAAACTCATTTGTAACACCACAGCATTGGCAGAACATGGCATACCTTGTGGAGGAAATCCTGGTGGTCTGTGCCCTGGGAGAGGTCTCATTCCATTCAGCTGTCCATTGCTTGGTCTTGTGATTAGATTTTTAGATGAAATTGTTTCTGATACAACAGTGCACTTCAGTTTCGAAGTGATGCCCGAGCTGCTGCCTGGTCGCCCAGGTCCCACGCTTGAACCACTGCCTGGCCTTCCTGGTCCGGTGCCCAGGCCACTGCCTGGTCGCCCATGTCCCATGCTTGAACCACTAGGCCTTCCAGACGTTGTGCCTGAACTAATGCCTGGTCGCCCAGGTCCTGTGCTTGAACTGACACCTGGTTTTCCAAGTCCTAAGCCCGAGCCACTGTCCGGTCTCCCAGGTCCTGTGCTTGAACTGACACCTGGCTTTCCAAGTCCTGTGCTTGAGCTGCTGCCTGGCCTTCCAGGTCCCATGCTAGCACTGCCACCAGACCGCCCAAGTCCCATGCTCAAACTGCTGCTTGGATGGACAGGGACTGAACTACCACCTGATCGTGCAGGTCCCATGCCTGAGCTACTGCTTGGACGCCCAGTTCCTCCAGATCCTGAACTGCTGCCTGGCCGCTTTGCACTAGAGCTGGCTTCATGCTGAGAAGGTGCTGCAACTCCTTGTTTTGTATGGGCAGAAGCAGATTTTTTCACACTAGGCTCTTTAGCTGGCAGCAGTTTCTGAGTCCCATTGGCAGTTGCTTTTGAGATGAATGCATGAGAGCTTGACCCAGATTTCCCTATTCCATTGACTGGAGGTTTACTATGGCTAAAACTAGATGAGCTTTTCAAAGATCCATTTTGTGCAGGTTTTGCTTTTTCCATTTGACTGTATTTAGAAGATGATGACAGCCTGGAGTGCTTTTCAGTAAATGCTGGTGCTTTGGATTTTTTATCTGAACAACTTATGGAAGAAAAACTGCCTTTTGAAGAGGAATGTTTATCTGCTGAAGCTTTGCTAAGTTTTGCATTCACGAGCTCTTTCTGAGAGCACACTTTTTTTGAAGAACCTGAAGCTGCTATATTCTTAATCTCTTTTTCAGGTTTCTTTTTTTCTTTTAGCATTTCCCCTTTTTTGTTTTTGCGTTCCAAAAATTCCCTCTCTCGCAATTCCTCTGCTGTCCTGGGCCGTTCTTCTATCTTTTTCACTACTTTTATTTCCACTGGTTCGTACTGTTTTTTCTCAGCCAGCCTGAGAAGATCAGTGAAGTTCATTGGGGCCGCTGCACTTTTGGGAGGGGCCTTTGGTTTCGCTGTAGCTTTGGATGGTTTCTCTTCATACTCCTCAGGTTCATGCTCAGATTCAGTTTGACTGTATTCAAACTGCTCAGTTTCATCTCCTGTGGTATATTCTGCATCCGTCCCTCGGCTGACATTTTCAGAAGTCCGCCTCTTTCTAGGCTTCTCCTCAATTGGGATGCCATTATAACCATAAAAGTTGTCCTTCGTTCGTGAAGCCATTGCTCTTGCTTTTCTGTCATGTTTCAATTCAACCCGTTTAGCTAAGAGTTCTTCTTTCCTTTTTTTTTCCTCTCGTTCTGGAAAAAAGAAAAAAAAATTAAAGGAGTTTTCCCATGATCATTTCTGAATTTTTGAGTTGATAAATTGTGGGGGAGATGAACATTATAGAGAACATGACGGCAACATAAATGATGGCCTGAAAAATCTAGGGCCAAAAGATTTAAAATCAGATTGGAATAAGTCTCCGTGTTTAATTTTTTTTAAAGTAGTACAGTGTAAGACTGATGTTATAGCCATGATGATCCAGAAATTATGCAAGGCAACAATTTCTTAGGGTGTTATCTTGTATTTGACCAACTATGTAGTAGGGACAGATGGACAAGCTTTTGAAAGTAAGACATTCTTCCCTCAGGGAAAGGGGATGAGATCTAAAGAATAATGTCTATTTAACCTTATCCCAACTATACAGTCAGTCCAGTAACAGATATCACCCTAAGAAATCCCTGCCTCAATTTTTTAAAGGCACAACATTCTAAAGATGGTTGACCTGACCACCTGCCGTTTTCAGACTCAGAGTACAGTTTGTTCAACATTAAAACGGTTATCAAAATATCAGAATGGCTCCTTGTGATCTCTTCTGGTGAAAACTACTTAATACTAGATACTTTCCAAGCTGTGATGGTGAGTACGTAAGTAAAGCTGTGTAAATATTTGGATTCAAAAACAGGCCATCTGCCACCCTGATGATTACTGCTCTTCAGTCAGCTCTTACTCAGCACCAGTTGTGTATGGATATCCCCAAGAAGGGAGAAACACATGCCAATGTTATGTATATTGGGAGCCTGAATATGGTGAAAATGTCCCAAATAGTCAGTGAAAAAGTTTGCCTCCAACAGGTAACACATGAAACAACTTAAACAGGTACCTTTTTTCTTCTTTTCTTCTTCTTTCCGTCTGAGAAAAGCTTGTACTGCTGCAGACTCAACACCCTTGACTTTTGGAACCTTTTTAGGGGGGCCTACTGCCAAGCTGTATCTTTTCTGCAAACAGAAAAAAAAATTGTCCTGAGGAAAGTAAGGGCTTTGACTTGAATAGATGATTTTTACTAATTGGGAAACCATAGTGAATGAGAAATGTAATAATAATGCTTATTGGGCTTTCAATATATGAATGCTGAACAACAACAAATAGTATAGCAATGAATGTCAATGGGAGCTGAGAGCTCCTGGCACCAAACAGGATCAGAACCTATGTGCAGAAGCCACTCTGGGCATAAAGAGCACCGGGAACCAGAAAAGAAAAAAAGGGAACAAAAGAGATGGCTGCAGAAACCTTGGATGAACAAAGAAGGGGAAATAATTCAGAGAAGGGGATGAGATTGCAAAGAAGTTTAAAAGCAACACCATTGGCCTTACAGAAACACCCAAAATAGACCCATAGAAAATCCACACTCCTAGACTAAGTAAGAAATAGGAGAACCATACGCTACACAGTTAGGCAACTCCCTTTTCCATAACAAAATAATTTACAGGCTGTCAAGTCTTGCCTGAATAAAAATGGACCTAAAGTAACTTAAACTTACTTTCATTAGTTATTTTGAATGCAAATTTGTATATGGATACTTATTTAATGTTAAGATTACTTCCTCTGTTAAAAAAACACCTAAACAATCCAAATTACAAAATAAGATATTCTTAATCCAAAAATCAGTGCCCACACACAGATTTGCATCATCATAACTAATGTTCTGAAACAAAACATATATTGTTCTTTTGTTTTCATTTGATAAAAACGGTCACTAGCAGGCTGAGTTTTCAAGTAGTGAGTGGTAGTTAAACAACAAGGAAGGAAATGAGGAATCTTGAATTCTCTTCCCACAAATACAAAAAACCCACTTTTAAAAAGTTAGAGAAGGAAACGGAGATCATCAGAATGTCACAGGAGGCAGAAGTGTAGCACTTGTCTTTGATCAAGCAACATTACCAGACACTTAAATTTAAGAAATTTTCCTGGCTAGCAGCTAGCAGGGCTGTGTGAAACAGCACCATTTTGCCATTTTGAAGGGACAGTGGTTCATTTTGTCGTTTTGTTTAGTTTCAAAAAACTGTTCCATTTCATTTTGTCAAAACAGTTTTGATGCGTTTTGCCCATAGGCTATAATGGGGAATCATGAAAATGCCTGTAACTGTCAGTTTTGGCCTGATTTGGATGAAAATTGCAGCGACGGTAGCCCCTTCTGAGGGCATGAAGCCTGCCAAGTTTCAAGGAGATAGGTGCAGGGGTTTCTGGGAAACTATACCTCAAACTGCTGACAAGCAAAACTCATATCATTTGCCAGCAGCAGCAGCCTGCTGTCATCCTGCACACAGATCTGGGGGCCAGCGCCCCCCTGGGAGGGCTGTGGGGCTTTGCCAGACTCCTCCCAGGGGGCATGGGTCCTCGGATCTGCATGCAGGATGACAGCATGCTGCTACTGCTGGCTGAGGCCAGTGGCAGCACCAGGCTTCCCGGTGCTCGGCATGGGCTGCACCCAGTGCCAGTCGCAGCATGCTGTCACCCTGCACGCAGATGTAGGGCCCGCACTGCAGCAAGCCCAGCTCCGAAACTCAAAACATTTAAAAACTTTTGAAACATTTTGAGTCCCCTCGTTTTATTTCAAAGCTGTTTTGAATCTTTTTGTTTTGTTTTGATTTCGTTGTTTCAAGTGCGAAACACGTTGAAGTAGCTTTGAAATGAAACACCCACTGACATTTCGCACAGACCCAGTATCTACGTAATTAAAAAAACAACCAAACAAAAAACCCTTTAACCAAATATTTGAGAGGTAGGAAAACTGGCCAAACATTTAAAATTGGTTTGATTACAGCCTGCTAAGTTTTAGCTTCTACTTCTGATTTATTAAGACAGTAGCACAAGAATACAGACAGTCTGGGCACATTATATAAAAATATGAATGTATGTTTAAACAAATGTGTATTTGCTAAGATTCAAGGTTCAGAAGTTCATTTTTAATAACTGATAGTTAAAATTCAGTCAAGCTCTTTCAGGAATAGCAACTGCAAGACTCCAGTAGCAGCTGTTTAAAAGTCTCCTTTTAGTGATTACTGAACTGACTCAAGGGGAAAAGAATTCAAAAACCCTACCCGATCCAACTATACTTCACTAACAAAACTTGACATGCAGCATCATTACATTAAAAAGCTTCTACAACATGAGTGCACTTACTGATGGACATCTCTACACATAAAATGTTTCTTCACAACTAAGGCTCAACAACCCTTCCTTGAACAATTCCTACTCTCCACAATTTTACTGCACTTACACCTTAAGCAGGTGGAACTAATCATTCAAGTACTATTTAAAAGGAGTAAGGTATCAGGAATTGGGGTCTTCTTTATTACAAAGACAGGTCTTTTTAATATGCTATGTATTTGAATCCAAGATGAATGCTCTCCCCCACCCCAGGAAACCCCCCCCTCATCTTGGATTCAAGTACAAGGCAGAGGAGGGGGCAGGTGCCTACTGCAGCTCTGACTCTGGCTGGGTCAGTGCCAGAGTCAGGCCCACAGCAGCTGCCTGCTCCCCCTTTCATCTGTCCCCAACCACTTGTGTGCTGTAGCTCTGCTGCTTAATGCCAGGCATGGCTCTGGCTACATTCCCTCCTTCCTGGGTACAAAGAACATGCAAGCTCTTGCCCCTGCCCAGCCACACCACAGTATCTTGGGGAAAGAGATGCTACTGCCACGTGCCTGGAGCTTGCATGTGCTCTGTGCCCAGGAAGAAATGGAGCCAAAGCCACACCTGACAGTAAGAAACAAGGGAGGAGGGGAGAACAGGTAGGTCACAGAGGCTGCAGGGGGGCAAAGGATGCAGGGAGGAGGCAGAGGGCAAAGTGGTGGAGCAACAAGTAGTGGGAGCTACCTGTCCCAATGCTGCTGCTTTCCCCAATGCGGGAGTGGAGGAGACAAATTTAAGATGACCCTCTGGTAATTAGATTCCAAACATGGAAAACTATAACAAATTTATACACTCTTTCCATACACAGAATCTAATTGGGGGGGGGGGGGAAATATCTAAAATTTGGTTCTTTTGGATTCAGGTAAATACAATGGCTCAAAATTTGCATGTTTGAAAAATAATGTGTCCCAGGGAACCCCTCTAGAGCTGGGTCCCGGACTGCATGGGGCTGTTCAGGGGATTTGACCTGGGATACAAGACATGTTAATGGACACTTTGGTTCAAATCCTTCCCAGGGCCTTAGATGCTACTAATACTGCCATACAGCATTCTTCAGCAGCAAGGTAAGGAGAGATGATTATTAATCAACCAAATCAATCACTATGATAGTTAGTATAAGGCAGTGATTTTCAAATTCTCAAACAGGACGCTGTGGTTAGGTGGACAAACATGATTAAACCCAGAGATTTCAAACAGGAATCCATAATGTCTAAAACATGCTGACCTGATGGAGGATTTTGAGTTCATGGAAAAAAAATTGCTCTATTATTTTTTTGTCAAAAAAGAAGTGAAAAACTAAGAGCTGGCATTATCTGAAGTGTGACTCAAGTCTAAAAAAACCTGAAAACCACAGGTCTAAGATGGAACTACTCACCTGTTCTCAGAGGAGACCTTCCAGGAAAGGGTTGAAGCCTACTAATGAGGGCTGAAGGGAATTATACACTGCTGCTACCTGTGCTGTGCCTGCTTTGTGGATAATTTTATTCACAGAGCTAGTCAGACATGTTTGACAATAATAAATGTAGTTTTAGAAAACAAAATTATCCAATCTCAAAAATGATTTTTTTTTAAAAGCATGTATGTAGAAAATGAGATTTATTCTGACAGGGCTTTTAACAAGACTGCAAAAGAAACTTTTTATTTTATTTTGCTAAAAGCTTCACACAGCAGGAACAAAATACAGACTGGCCCATCACATTAGAGAGGCTTGTAAAGAAAATCGTGTTGGAGAAGCAGTTTTTAAGCTTAGTATTATAAATTGGCAAAGCACTCTGCTATCTGGTGAATGGGTTTATAAAGTAGCTTTACAAGCACTCCTCCCTCAGCACCATTGTGCAAGACTAAAGATGAATTTTCAGAATGAGTCTTCCCCATCAAGGAAGTCTTCTAAGATTCATTTCTATTTCATCTGAAACATGCAACTACCAAATGCTCCCTAAACAAATTACAGGGTTTCACATATAATGAATCATTACTTCTGTTTCAACAAGTACTTTGCTTAACTCTGCTCACACACACACCAGAAAATTAATAAGCAGGTTTATAAACTAAGCCTTATTTGGCAGGGGGGGAAGGGGGAAGAGAAATCAAAATGAACTACATGTATGATGCACAAAACTGTTCCAGAACCGCCTATATGATTGCTTTGTATGCTGGCTAGTCCAACAGCAGCTTCCTGGAAGAAACAGAAAAGATAAGCACAAATAGTCTACTCCTTACTTTATCGTTTTAGTAGCAGCTACACTAACCAGATGCCCCATACAGTTATCTGAAAGTTGGTAAAATCAACAGAGAACAAAATGTGTTCTGCCTTTAAAGTCAAGTAGGTCACATTATTCTGGAACAGCATGCTTCTCAAACTGTAAACACTGATTATTTTTCAAGGTACCTCCCCACCACAGCTCCCTGGCTGAACGTTGCCAAAATGTGCAAAGCTATCTTTGCTTGACTCAGAGTACAAGTGAGACCCTGGGCCTCATTCCCAGAGCCCTGGAAATCTCTCCCCTCAACTGCATGTTGTGTACCTTAAAGAAATAAAAAGGAGTCTTCCTATCAGTGAGTTCCTATTTAGAGTTTTTCTCCCCCATCCTCCTCTGAGGATTCCTTTATATATAGAGGACCTTTATTATTACCCATTTCCACAAATCCTACCTCCATCCAACATACACTCATCTGCTATAAGAAAGCCTGAACTAGCTCCCTTGGAAACTGACCAGTTGTGTGAAGTAGAAAGGATTTAACAAAGTGCTTTATATCTCTACTTGCTCCGGACAAATAACTAGTTAAGCATCCCATATAGTGTACCAAGCTAAAGAAAGCTGAAAAAACTTTAATTAATGTCTAAAAAGCAAAGTATCCATCTACTAGGGTGGATTTGGTAAATTAATAGTAATGTATCTGCCTTCAATACAGGAGATTTTAACATAAATATTAAACTGGCTTAGCCACCAGAAACTACAAGCGTCACTGTTGCAGCTGACAAACAGCTGCAAGAGGATTATGGCCAAAGTTTTACTCTTAAAATCACCTTCCTAACACTTTCCTCTACAAAGAACTGGAACTGGGTTCTCTGATTCGGGAAGAACTTTTTTAAAGGGGAAGGAAGGTTAGGCTGAAAATTTCAGTTCCATAAAGCTAGTGCAAAATCCAATATTAATAAAAATGTTTTCACAGCCTAAAAACACTGCTTGAATCACCACCTGCGCTGCCAATTCTGAAAACCAAGACAGTGGCATTCAAAGAGCCAAAAATAGTCTATTGTAGCTGAAGACATGAAATGCGAAACATGAACACAATAGACTAAAGAGTAGAAAGTTAAGCTTGAAAAGTTACTTCAAGTGTTAACATAAGTTGATTATTCAAAACAATTATAAACTATGCCAATAAATGTCTGAATCCCTTCCCCAAATAATCAAAAAGCTATGTTTAAAATTGAAAGGATGCAGAACAGGAAGTCAGAAATCAATGCAATCATCACACAAACTATTCATTAACCTCAAAGTTGATATTTATCTGAAAGACTTCCTTTAACAAGGTCATGAATTACACTATGCAAAACTAACCCACCAAACCCACTTGTTTGAAGAGTGTGTATCGCATATTGTCACAACATGTGAACCTGCTACAACTTTTAGGAAAAAATGTTTATTTATCCTACTCACAAAACATTTATCAATACTAAGTTTCACTGTTCCCTTCCTATTAGCCATTTTCCAGTGCTTGCTTGGGACTTTTACATAGAATAAAAGGAAGAGGGAAAAAAAACAGAGGCAGAGAATTAAAGGCAGAGAAAGTCAGAGCCATAAACATTTTGGTCAGAACTTGCAGAAGCCTGGAGTGCAAGTATCAAATAAAACTTGTGTCCGGAGAAAAAAGAAAAACCTTCAGTCCAGGCCAGCTCTTTATATTACATCATATGCTTGTTTCACAGAAGCTGTTATACTAGGGCAGGTATTTCCAGGCACTGGTTTATGTGGTTAGCTGCAGCCATGTGAAGTGACTCTCACAGACTGACTTTAGATATGGGTCAAGTTCTACTTTCACATTAAATCATGTCCATTCCACCTATTTCTTAGGTAGCAGGTCTATAACACCTGGTGTTGTAGTCTCTGCTTGGCTGACTCATCTGTACCTGAATTTTGTACAACTCAACGCCAGAAAGGAATTTTGTAAAGAAGGGGCCTTCATGATGCAATATTATAAGCCACATCACTGACAGCCAGGCAGTCTTGCACGTTTTCCTGGCAGCTATTTCTTCAGCAGAGTTATACGGTACAACCATTAAGTTAATCAACACGGCTTAGTTTGTTCACTTTCTGCATATCTAAGATTGATTCACAATGAAGTACCCATCTCTTCAACCAGTGCTGATATGAAGGAAACACTGTTTCAATTTTGGGTGGCCTCCATGCCATCAAGTACTATATTGTTTCAAGTCACTAATTGCTGGAAGTTATAGAACTTTTATAGTCAAGACTGGCACTTCATTAGAAGCACAAGGAACTGATGTGAAAATATTTCAGCTTCTAATAAAGAGGTTCTTTATGGCAACAAAATACAGAGTTAGATAAAGGGCTTGGTTTTGTCAAGCTACTTTTAGCAGTATTTGTAAAATTACACTATAAGAATTTTAACATTTTAACAGCATCGTCTATCCAAAGATCTGAGTGCTATACAAAATGTATCCGGCCATGTGGCATCCTTGTGAGGCAAGGAAGTACCTTCCCTTCACAAACAGAAATGAAGAAACACATTAAGGGCTTAATCCTACCATCTGCTTATGTCAATGGTAAAAATTTCCCTTTGATCAGTCTGATGCATGACTAATGCACTTAGCAACTTGGACAATGTCACACTGGAAGTCTGTGCTGGATAAATACCAAAAAACCTTGCACAGCACTAAATATAACAGCCAGGTAGAAATGCAATCACAAGTGCATGAAAATATGTAAACCAATCTTCTACAGTTGCTATAAAAGAATTTTAGCAACATCTAGCCAATAACCTTGTTAGCCAAATTTATAAAACAATGTTACATTTACTGATAACATTAAGAAGGGGTCTTCTTTTTAAAATAATGCAAAGGTTATTACTCTTACCTTGTAAATGTAACGTTCTCTGAATTAAACCATTCACTAGGCCACAAGTTGCATCATTTTATTATTTCTGAACCTGCTTTTCCATGGGGAGACGAACAAACAGATCTATTTTTACCAGGACATGATGAAACACTAGTGTTTGTAACTATGCACTATTGACAATTGTTTAAATTAAGACAAGTATTTCTCTTTTAGTAATGATAAATGTAATTAACTTCCAGGTAGATAACCTTTTAAACAAGTGTACTTTTCACCAAAGGGCTAATCCTTAATCCCCAAACTTCTCCTTAGGACAAAGATTTTATAAAACATATCTACTTAAAATCACAACATTTAAACTCTAACATACAGGAGGACTCAACCCCCAGCTTTCAGTCTGGGATTTTTGAATGAGTAGTTATTAGCATATCCAGGAGATTATTTTGAAAATAATGTTTTGGCATTACCATATTTTCCTCATATAGAACCCAAGCCTTCTCCCAAAACCAACTGAGAAAGATTGGAGCGGGTATGATACATGACAAAAAGGGCTCTCACAGGTCTGGAAATCTGGTGGTGGGGGAGGCAAAGAAGTAGTAACAAACTACTGCAGCCATGAGCAATTAAACTGACAATGCTCTGCCCCTCCTCCCCTGCCAAATTTCCAGACCCATGGAGAGCCCCCGTCCCCAACCACATGAGATCAAACTGTCACATGAGGTTGGTCCACAGCTGGAGAACTGGGTTGGATCCAGCATGCCAGACACACTAGCTCCCTTCAGAGTCACATGCCAGGTCAGACTTGAAACATCAAGCCAAGGACCTTGGGTCACATTAGGCCCAACTGCACAGCCCCAGTACCTGCACAGCAGTTTGGTTCCCATTGCTACTCCAAAGTAAGATACCTGTTTGCTTCTTGAGGCCTTCCAAAAAAAGGGTACATGTTATATTCAGCAGCACGTTATAAACAAGAAAACACAATATCTGCCTGCCTGAATCCCAAAGTTCCTACCCCTCCTTAATGACGGGCTTTAACATGACTTATGGTCCTGCTGA